CATCTGGCATAAGCAACCAGATTTAAATAAGCCCTGATTTTCTACTAAACTGAGTATTGGCAAGGGAGAGGTGGAGTCTTCCTTTGGTGGCTGATTTCTGTGCTGTGTGTATTCTCTCCACAACTAATGACATGTTGCCAGTGTCATTAGATGCAGAAAAAGGGAAGACACACCCATAATCAGCTCTTAATGGGCTTAGGTGGCTCCAGCCGCCTTAGTTACCTACTTAGCTAGGTAGTCACAAAAATAGCCACAAAATAGCCACAAAATAGCCACTGTGGCCTCCAAATTGTCCATCACCATAGTCATTGAAAACTGTCGGAGGCTCTCCAATGCATAACAGGGTGCATCTCTTTCAAATAACTTCCTGACTCCAAAGATCTAGATTATGAGACCTTACGAGACCTTGGAGTTCATCTAGACCTCTCATCTGACTGATAAGAAAACTCCTCTCAATCTGGATCATACAGGGCTCTTCCTTTAAATCTATCATTTCATTTCCACCCACCATTCTGAAGAATCTACTCATTGCTTTGAGAAGTTTCTATGCTTTATGAGAGAACCTGACCATTAAACTCACCTACAAACTTGAAAAGGTTTTATCTTAAACTTTCATCACATGGAAAAATGTGTTTCCCTGCATTCTTTTTTTTCACTTCCAACATCTTTTGGTAGAGGAGGGTAAGACAGGGTCTCGCTGTGTCATTCACGCTGGACTTGAACTCACTACATAGCCCAGGCTGGCTCTGAATTTGCAATGATCCTCCTACCTCAGTCTCCTGAGTGCTGGGTGGGATTCCAGATGTGTGGCACCACAGCCGGCTTCAGATGTCTTTTGTAAAGAGTTTTCTCTTCTGAAAGCCAACATTTGGGGACTGTTTTGTTTACTCCCTCATGCCTCCCTTGTTCCAGAAGGACTTAATGTGGATGTAAGGATGGGGATCCAGACTCTCCATGAATTTTCTCACAACCTTGCCTAACCCTTTAAACTAAACTTGGACAAAACAGAGCTATTGCTAGTTCCTGAGCTTTCTGTCACCTTTAACATGAAGCCCCAGAGATCCCCCACCCCCATCCTCCCAAGAGCATAGTTAGTGTCCCTGTCATACACTTTTATCACCACATCAGTGCATCTGCGCTGAAGCAAGGTCCACACTATTTTAGTTACTTGATTGCCTTATTTAACCTTTAGCTCCTGCAGTGCAGAACTTATGCCTAATTATAGTACCCAGAACCATCCCAGCACACAGATGGAGCTTAATAATTATTTGTAGGTCTGTGGCTGAATGCTTGGATGTATAAAGGATGTGCAAATGGAGGGGTGGGTGGATGGGTGGGTGGGTGGGTGTATAAATGGATGGATGGGTGGAGTTTGAGATGGGTGGGCAGGCGGGTGGATGGATGGGTGGGTGGATGGATGGAAGGATGGATGGATGGAAGGATGGATAGATGGATGGCGGGAGGGAGGGATGGATGGGCGGGTGGATGGATGGGTGCTTCCTCCACACTTCTGCTTGTACCTTACTTCTGGCTTGAGCCAAGGGCACCCACTGACTGCCCCAACACTGTGAATCCAGGTCACAAAGCCACAGCCCCACTCACCTGGGAGGCAGAGAAAGAGCAGAGCTGAGGACAGCCGCATGGTCTGGTCTTCCTGGCTGCCACTCCTAGCAAATCCAAGTCCCAGCTGGAATCCGGATAACAGAGCCCAGAGTGTCCAGCTTTTGCTTGTTCAAATTGCCTTTGTGCCTCTCTCATCTACTTCTCTTTTAACCTCTTAGCTGCTTCCTAATTTAACAAAAGGGGAAGAGTGTCAAGAGACGCTTCAGGAGCAAAGGGCAGAGAGAGGAATCTACTGAATTTTTTCCCAATTAGAAGATAATATTTGCATTGTGCTCTGAACCTTTGTGGAAGCCAGTCACAATACTTCAACAAAGGAGACCTTTTGACTCATGGCTCTCTCTCTCTCACCCTCTTTCCATCTAGGACTATTTCCTTGGCGTGAGTAGCTGGCTACCCCGTTTCTGTGGCTGCCAACTTGGGTCACAAACTTCTCCCCTTCAGTGGATATGGTGAATGCTCCACACCTCTCAACCACTCACCATTCAGTTGGTGATAGACAGTTTCAAGTAAGTAGTGGATATTTGTGAATCAGATAAGCTCAGACCTCTCCCACCAACCTGACACCCCAATACTCTTCTTGGGATCCAGACCCAGCTTTCTGACTTCCTGTGGGGCAACTCCATCCAGTTATATTCCACGACTATGATTCTTACTCTCTGATTCTTATTCAGAACCAAGATCATCCATCGTTCAGAGCATAGACCCCAGA